TTGCAGGGATGAGGGAGGGGGCACTGGGCAGCACTGGGGGTTCCCCTGACACCACCAGGGCTCAAGGGATGAGGTGGGGGGCACTGGGAAGAGCTGGGCACCCCCTTGCCATCACTGGGGTTGCAGGGATGAGGGGGTGGCACTGGGCAGTACTGGGGAACCCCCTTGGACCACTGGGGCCCCAGGGATGAGGTGGAGAGTCCTGAGCAAAGCTGGAGACCCCCCTGCCGACGTTGGGGTCCCAGGGATGAGGTGGGGGCACTGAGCAGCACTGGGGACCCCCTGGTTGTCACTGAGGTCTCAGGGAAGAGGTGGGGGGCACTGGGAAGAGCTGGGGTCATCACTGGGGTCCCAGAGATGAGGTGGAGGGCACTGGGCAGCACTGGGGACCCCTGGGCCATCATTGGGGTCCTAGGGGTGAGGTGGGGGACACTGGGAAGAGCTGGGGGCCCCCCTGACACCCCCAGGGCCCCAGGGATGAGGTGGGGGCACTGGCAGCACTGGGGACCCCATTGCCATTACTGGGGTCCCAGGGATGAGGTGGGGGGCACTTGGCAGTGCTGGGGACCCCACTGCCAACATTGGGGTCCCAGGTGTGGGGCAGAGCAGAGGAGGGGTCTGGGGTCCCCCATCCCCCAGGCTTGCCCCCTGCCCACCCCCCCTCCACCCTCCCCCCAGGGGACCCCCTCCTCTCCAACACCTTCACCGAGCCCACCAGGAGCATCGTGGGGCCCGTGGGCCCCCCCGGCCCCGTGGGGCCCATGGGTGAGTGTGTCCCCCCGTCCCCTGCCCCCCCAACCCATTTTGGGGTGTCCCGGGGCCGAGCTGAGCTGTGCCCCCTGTCCCGCAGGTCCCCCCGGCCCCCCGGGTCCCACCGGGCCCCCCGGACCCCCCGGACCCGACGTAAGTGCTGGGGGGGGGGAGGGGGGCGGACCCTGGGGTGTCCCCTCCCCCAGGGGGATGTCACCAGGGGGATGTCACCCACCTTGTCCCCGCGCAGGGACGAGCCGGAGCGCCCGGAGCTACGGGACCCCCCGGAGAGAAGGGGGACAGGGTGAGTCCCCCCCCAGGATTTTGGGGGGGGTCTCAGATGCTCAGCAGGGGTCACAGGGGTGTTTTGGGGTGCAGGAGATGATTTTTGGGGTGATTTGCGATGTTTCAGGATGATTTGGGGGTGATTTTGGGGGGTCTCAGGTGCTCAGCCAGGGTCACAGAGGGTGTTTTGGGCTGCAGAAGATGATTTTTGGGGTGGTTTGGGGGTGATTTGTGGTGTTTCAGGAGGATTTGGGGGTGATTTGGGATTATTTTGGGGTCCCTCACCTGGCAGCAGCTCAGGCACAGCCAGTTTTGGGGTGATTTGGGGAGGTTTTGGGGTAATTTGGGATATTTTGGGGTGATTTTGGTATGTTCTGGGGTCCCTCACCTGGCAGCAGCTCAGGCACAGCTAGTTCTGGGGTGATTCGGGGTGGTTTTGGGGTGATTGGGGATGTTTTAGGATGATTTTGGGGTGATTTTGCAATGTTTTGGGGTCCCTCACCTGGCAGCAGCTCAGGCACAGACAGCTTGAGGTATTTTGGGGTGCAGAAGATGATTTTTGGGGTGATTTCAGGTGATTTTGTGTGTTTCAGGATGATTTGGGGATGATTTTGGGTTATTTTGGGGTCCCTCATCTGGTAGCAGCTCAGGCACAGCCAGTTTTGGGGTGATTTGGGGTAGTTTTTGGGTGATTTGGGGATATTTTGGGGTCCCTCACCTGGTAGCAGCTTAGGCACAGCCAGTTTTGGGGTGCAGAAGATGATTTTTGGGGTGCTTTGAGGTGATACAGGGAGGTTTTGGGGTGATTTGGGGATATTTCAGGGTCCCTCACCTGGTAGCAGCTCAGGCACAGCCAGATTTTGGGGTGATTTGGGATATTTTGGGGTGATTTTGGGATGTTTTGGGGTTCCTCACTTGGCAGTAGCTCAGGCACAGCCAGTTCTGTGGTGATTTGGGGATGTTTTAGGATGATTTTGGGGTTATTTGGGGATATTTCAGGGTCCCTCACTTGGTAGCAGTTTAGGCACAGCCAGATTTGAGGTGGTTTTGAGGTGATTTGGGGTCATTTTAGGATGATTTTGGGGTGATTTGGGGATATTTTGGTGTCTCTCACCTGGTAGCAGCTCAGGCACAGCCAGATTTTGGGTGTTCTTGGGGTGACTCGGGATGGTTTTGGGGTGATTCGGGGTGTTTTGGGGGTGATTTGGGATGTTTTTGGGGTGATTTGAGGTGGGTTTGGGGTGATTTGGGATGTTTTTGGGGTGATTTGGGGTGGGTTTGGGGTGATTCGGGATGTTTTTGGGGTGACTGGGGGTGGGTTTGGGGTGATTCAGGATGTTTTTGGGGTGATTGGGGCTGGTTTGTGGATGACTTGGGGTATTTTTGGGGTGATTCGAGGTGGGTTTGGGGTGATTTGGGGTGATTTTGAGGTGATTGGGGGTGTTTTGGGGGTGATTGGGGGTGGGTTTGGGGTGGGTTTGAGGTGATTTCGGGTGGTTTGGGGTGTTTTCAGAGTGTTTTGGGCTGGTTTGGGATGTTTTTGGGGCTCTGGCCGTGCCCCCCAGGCACTGACGGGCTCTGTCCCCCCGCAGGGTCCCCAGGGCCACCCTGGCAGCCGCGGGCAGGACGGGGCACAGGTAGGTGGGTGGGGGGCCCCCCCCCGGCGCTCCCCCCGTGCCCCCCGTGCTGCCAGGCCCTCTGCTCTCTGTTCCAGGGTGAGCCGGGCCCCCGGGGCGAGCCGGGCCACAGGGACACTTGGGTGAGTGGCACCGGGGCCACGGGGGGCGGGTGGGATGGGGAGGGGGGATGGGCACGGGGGGGACCCCCGGACCCCTCTGGAGCTCGTCCCTGGGACCCCAGGGAAGGCCTGGGGGTGCCCAGCTCTGCCCAGTGCCCCACAGCTTGTCCCTGGGACCCCAATGATGGCCTGGGGGTGCCTAGCTGTGCCCAGCACCCCACACCTCATCCCTCTGATCCCACTGATGGTAAGGGAGTCCTCTACAGTTCCCAGTGCCCCACAGCTTGTGGCCGGGACCCCACTGATGTCCTGGGAGTCCCCAGTTGTGCCCAGTGCCCCTCAGCTTGTCCCTGGGACCCCAGTGATGGAGTGGAGGTCCCCAGTGCCATGTCTCATCCCCACCACCCCAAGGATGGCACTGCTGGTCCCCAGCTGTGCCCAGTGCCACATCTCATCCCTAGGACCCCCCAGCTGTGCCAGTGCCCCTCAGCTTGTCCCTGGGACCCCAGTGGTGACATGGGGGTGCCCAGCTGTGCCCACTGCCCCACACCACATCCCTGTCACCCCAATGATGTCCTGGGGGTATCCTGCAATTCCTAGTGCCCCACAGCTTGTCCCTGGGACCCCAGTGATGGCAGGGGGGTCCCCAGTGCCATGTCTCATGCCTACCACCCCAAGGATGGCACTGGGGGTCCCCAGCTGTGCCAGTATCCCACAGCTTGTCCCTGGGACATTGGCCTGGGGATCCCCAGCTGTGCCCGGTGCCAATGTCACCTGACTGGGATGATGTGGCACATCCCCAGCCCCCTGGTGACCCCCACTCCCAGCACAGCGGGGCACAGAGCTGTGCTGGGGGCACAGGGGGGGCTCAGACACCCCCCCCAGGTACCCCCAGTCATTCCCCCGATGTCACGGTGAGCCGGGGGGTGCCAGGAGGGGGGTGATCCCCGTGTCCCCTCCGTGCTGCCCCCGGGGGGGGGCCCGGGGCCAGGGGGGGTGCAAGCCCCCCCCAGCCCTGCCTCTCTCATCCCCAGGGGGAGGGTTTGCACCAGCTCCGGGAGGCGCTGAAGATTTTAGCAGAGAGGGTTTTAATCTTGGAAACAATGATTGGGCTCTACGGTGAGTAGGGGCACGGGGACCCCCGGCGTGCCCCCCATCCAGGGGTGACCCCCATCCAGGGGTGACCCCCATCCCTGCCAGCAGGTCGCTGTGACGTCACGGTGGCC